ATATGAGCGGAGGCGGAAGGCGGAAATTTACCACTTTCTCGGCGGAATATCCCTGTGGCGGAAAAATACCAAACGGCGGAGGCGGAAGGGCGGAGCGGAAGGCGGAGGCGGAATTTTACCTAGGACCTTTATTTCGTGCATTTTCATGTGATCTGTTACATGCAATTGAAATTAAACTTTTTTTTCAAAGATCTTAATTTATTCAAGAATTAAGTTTTAATTTTTCTGAAATTTCGGGTAAAACGAGCGAGGCTTCCGAATTGAGATAACTTTTTATCAAAAAATTTGGAAGTCTTAATTACATCAAACAAACATCAGAGGGCGGCCAAGTGAGAATGAGAGTGAGTGCAAAAAAGTGGTCTCTATTCGGAAAGAGCCACAATAAGGATATCTCTGAAGGTGTATGTTTCCACTGACTAAAAGTGTGAAATGTAGATTGAATACAAAATTCTATATAAGATAGTGTAATTTTATTAATAAGATTTGGGTTTAAGAAAGTTAATAAAATTTCGGATGAAAAATTTGTAAAAGATATTTTATACACTGTAATTTGGAATTAATTTCTGATTTATAGAAAATCGATCTTGAAAATCGCCAACGATTTTCTGACTCTTAGAAAGTCCTTGTCGATTTTCTGGCTTTCTATAAATTGACTTTTTATTTTATTCAGAAAATCGCCGTAGAATTTCCAAAAATATGAAAATTCGGCGTCGATTTTCTATAAATAGTTCCCAAGATTCTTGAAATTCCACATCGAATGGAAATCGGCTTCAAAATTTCAAGAATCTTGGAAATTATTTATAGAAAATCGACCTCGAATTTTCAAGTTTCTTATAAATTCGATTTTCTAGAATCTAGAAAATCCTCAGGGAATATATATATGGATTTTTTGGAAATCATCAAGCATTTTCTATAAATAATTCCCGACATTACAGTGTATCAATATAAATAAAGAGAGAATAGTTTCAATTATGACTTGTGGGGCCTACTGTTTAAAGGCATCCCTGTAGAAAAGATTCCAGTGCGCACTGGCAAAGTCATTGGTTAGATCACGAGAAAAAATCTAATCAAGCTTATGCAAAGATAACATGCTTTAGATTCGCAATATTTGAGTGCATAACCTGTCCTTATTCTCCATCTAGTAGCATCCGTACAATTTCCGAGATTTAAACCGTGTTTTCTGATCATACAGATGAACCAAGATATATTACATGCTTTTAGCATAAAAAGATTTAGATTTCATAACCAAGATGTTTTGCATGTTTTATTTCGAAATTTTGTCCAAAACCCTGGGCATAAACGGATTAATTATCACTTTCATATTTAAAAACAGTAGTGTATCACATTAAGACTCCTAATCATGTTTAACTCAGAAAATACAGGACTAATTTTAGTTACTGTAAAACAAGAAAGATAGATATTAGTTATTGTAGATAGTAAGTCAATTATAAAGATGTTTATAATTACTTAGGTATATACTAAATTCAGTTAAAATATAACTGGATAAACACAGTTTTCGATCAAAGTTCAGCGAATAAAGATCCAGTGATCAGATGCGCTTGTGATTTTTAATTTCAGTTCAGAACAGATTACTAATGTTAGTTTAGAACTATATTATATGTTGATTAAAAGAAATAGCATCTTGCTTTGGAAAAGAAGTACTAATTGTGCGAAGTTTGAATTTCGTTCTGAACTTCTGATTTCAGGTATTGTTTGGTTCCTCTGCTTTCTACACAGCAAATCTCTTGAGTTCTTGAAATCCTACAGGAGAAAAGCATCTCTCAAAATTTTTGATAATAACTCGTTACCTGATGCTGTAAATATGAGTACAATTGTCAAGGGAACCAAAGTTTTAAATGTTTTTAAACGCAAAATATTCATGTATTTATTAATTATCAAACTTTTATCCAGTATTAGATCATTAGAAGATATCAAAAAGAACTTCATGTGCTGTATGAACGGGAGAAAAGCCACTATTTGTTATGTAAGTGAAAAATGCAAACGTACTTTAATTCCATTTACATACTATTCTCCTATAGAAGTTCACCACTTGTAAAAAGTATATTCAAAGAACAACAGCTGTCAGTTTCAATCATACTGAATTTGAAAGAATTTATGGTCATAAATTCTATGAATTCGCCTTCACAACAACAAAATATTTCTCTCTATTAGATCTGTGATATGTTTTAGAAGATGAAATAAAAAATCAAACCTCGGTCTAATTACAATAAAAGATAGCATTACAATATTTTTTAGCGTCTATGGTTTAATTCGTATGAAAGAGTCAGAAAGAGAAATTCGATATAACTATTTTCGCTGCCAATGTTACCTTTAGAACCATGGCACATACACACACGCACACATTTTTCTTTTGAATGTTATATGCATGTTCTTTTTTTTCCTTGCGCATCTGTAATCCCATAAAGTTAAATGACTTTGATTGTTATTCATCAACACACTAGAGTTTATTTCTTTCTTTTTGTAAAAATAATACAACGGTGTAGAAGAACAATCACGCGATCTTGTTTCTCTAGTTTTGTTACCAAAATGAACCGAGCAAGTCGTGAAGAATATATCGAGCAAGTTATACCAAAAACACGTTTTGGACAAAGTAAGGAATTCTCTCTGGAGTAGGTAAAAAAGTAGAGAATAGTATCGAGGATCAAAAGTTATTAAAAGGATTTATATCACTTCTTTTTTTCAAGGTATGGCTGTTTTATTTCATTTAAAACGTCATAAAAAGAAAGATATTTTTGGTCGATGTCCAGTCGTATCGCGAGCGCAATCATCATTTTTATTTGGAAACAGGACCCTACCATTTGAAATATCAAATACAGTCATGTCTATGAGATCAAATGCAGATGATAGTCAAATGGACAATCGTGTGCAATAATTTGATTAATTTTCTATGAAAAAAAGAAGAATATCTCAAATGTAGAGATTTTTGGCCGTATTTGATAACATGGTTATTATTTAAAGATAAAAGAATTTTTTAAAAAACATAACCTTGCACTTATTATTGGCTCGTAATGATCGCATTTCTACTGACATGCATCATTTAAAAAATAAAAAATAAGAAAATTCAGGAAAATGTTTACTTTTTTTTGTGATAAAAAAGTATTTAGTATAAATAGCTACTAATCAAGAAAGAAAGAATTTGAAGAATTTGAAATAGTCACTAGAGAAATACTTCTGCCTATCTTACCATCTTATACTAACTGTTAGTATATGAATTTGTCTTCAGACATATAATACTGAATTGTGCGATCTGAGAGAAATTTTTGGTCACATATACTGTTATCTTTCTGTAAAAATTAAATAAATTAGAAGTTTGATATAAATTTCTATACGATATAATAGTGTTATAATTCTGTTTTATCGTACTCGTGTATTCTTGCACTTCGTTGTAATGTTTCTGCTAATAATTTTGCACTTGTCACAGATAATGTTTTTATTTTTGTTCGTTCAATATAATTTACATCACTTTCAATTGTCATTGTGGCATTGATATTTGTACTTTTTCTCAATTGATCCCATATAAGAACTGCATCAGGAGCATCTTTTAATTCCCATGTTGCTTGCTGATAAAAATCTAAAAAGACGCTATAGTACAATTGATCATTAGATCCCAATAAAAGTAATAAATAATTTTGTACATCTTTTGTTTCGATATTTCTACGTGCTAAATGTCGGCGTCCATGAATATAACGCCAAATAAATTCACCGTTGTCTAATGATATGTACGATGGTGGATTTTTTTCACATCCTTCGTCTTCGAAATCTTCTCGAGTGTCTGGTTGTGCGATATCAATTGAAACTGATATTGTTCGTCCATGAGCACGCACTTGATGCAAAACTTGTGTTGGTATATAGAGACAATCTCCTTCGCGCAACGTCACCCAATACCAGGGTATCGAATTTAAACGTTTATATTTGAATACGTTTACCATGTCAACGTCAATTTTCGAATATAAATCACCGTTTGACTGTGGAACGAGATCTAAACCGTCAATTTTATCTAAATGATCTAAAATAATAAAATCTTTTCTTCCATCAATCATACAATGTATTGTATCTTTCGAATGTGAATGTAATAGAGACGCTGTGTCACCGGCACTTATCCATATTACTGGTTCTAACAGACGATGTTTAAATGTACCACAATTAACGAGTGATATCAGCGGTGTTTCCACTTTCATTTCATCTGGAATTATTGTATTCATATACAAATCATCATGTCGATAATTTTGTAAAAATTTACTAAATAACATTGTCTCTAATGAATCAACAAGATGTTGTTTTCTTTTGGACACAGTTATATTCAAAAGACCATATTTCTTTGATAAATATACATCCGACCATTTATCGATAGCTGGTGAATTTAAAACAATACCTCGAAGAACAAGTGAACGATTACCTTGTACATACTGTTGATAAAATAACTGTGGAGAAATAGCAATTGAATCTTGTAGAACGGATGCTTCAGCACGTCGTTGCCAGCCCAATGGTCTCAGGTGACCCAATGGCATAGACTCATGACGTTCTAGTATAGGTGGAAATGTCACATGTAAATTCATATCTTTGGGAAATCCTTGCGTTAATACGTAAACAATGTTTATCAACGAAATGATTAAAAATGGCAAACTCATCTTACTGATTAATATCTTGGTCGAGTAGAATAATGGTGCTTGTTGGGTAAATAAAAAAGAAATTTATAGTAAAGAGTGTCAGCTGTGCTCTGTAAAAAATGAATGATTGCATAAAATGTATGAATTAAGACGATACGTGTTACACTTACATCAGAATATGTGTCATTGAAAAATAGTCACAATTTAAGACGATGCATAATGATCCTTCTTTTTTTCCGTGATAAGAGTCTAACACCGTTCACCAGAAAACACTCTTCTTTCTAAACCGCTTTTTATCATCTGAGTAAGCCAACCGACCTCGACACCGTAAACCGTGCAAGCTTAAAAAAGATGATTTTGGTCTACAATAAGTGCTAATAAACTGTTTGATGTTATTTTTTATTTTAACCTATAGCAAATCTTTAAAAAAAAAATGAGCATGTTTTTAAGATTTTTGCTGTCAGTCTATATTTCGATTATAGACCAGGAGTAAATAAATCTCTCATGGGGAAGATATTTCGTCCCCACTAGCAATTTATTTGAAGTCCTACTACTTCAGCGTCATATTTAAGATGAAAAGATTACCGGGTTATTACATAATATGCAAAGATTTATGCCCTCTTTAGCATATCTTGTCATAAAGATCATTCTCATATAGGTGTTTGGATAGTTTGTAGTAAATAGAGTTATTCTGAGAACCGTGTGCGGTCCCCGGAAACATCACTCTTCCTGTCGTGCGCATCCCAGGGTTTATCAAACGTGTGATATAAATTTGTCGATAGAACCTAATTGAAAAGGAAAATCTATTGTTTGAAATTTGAAAAATTAGGTTTGAACGAATGAACTCTAAATTAGAACTATAAGAAGAAACGACAGTGTAATTCTAACGATAAATGGTTAAAAAATTCACAATATTGATTTTAATTTATTTGTAATATGTGACTTTAGTTGAGCCCATCTGGTATTTTAGATTGAAATGACGTTATTTCGTTAAAATAAGCGTCCCCCATTCGGAACTTTCTGTCCCACATTCGAAAAAAATAATTTGAGACTCCTGTTATAGACTGTTTAGCGATGCAAGTAATAACGAAAGGATGTGCGACCAAAACTATTCATACGAAGATTTTTATATGAATACATTGATGAAGTGGAAGTGAAAACACCGGTGATATCACTCATCCAGTTTCTTTGCGATCTGTCTTAGATATAGCAGCACATAGCCTCAAATAACAGTTAAAAAAGCCCTTTACAGGAAAAATCAAAACAGGAAGATTCAGGAACCCTGATACAGATATCACAGGCCAATGAATTCTAACGTATGTGAGGAGTGTTCCGAACATTTCTCACAGACGTTAGAATATCATATCAATCGTATCAATGTTAGAATATCATGTCATATGCTTAAATGAGAGACTGTTCCTATCGTACTACGAGAGGAATAGCTCTTATTTAAGCATATCACTAACAGAAAAATAAAGTTTATGCAGAGTCGAGGAAAAGTGCTTTTTCTTATTCAGCACACTTGATAGCCCAGAAGATTGTCTATTTTTGGCTCGGGATACTGCCAAAAGTTTAGGTAAAAGTTTGAAATTAATATTAATTTCTCGTGGAAATTTTATTTGAAAAGTTTTCCTAAGAATAGAAAATCTTCTGGGTTGTTAGGATGAAGCAACAGGTTGAGTGTATCGTTCGTCGAAGAGGGCGCAACGTAGGATCCGTAAAAAAAACACGTGCTGAATTTCTGTGCGATACACTCGTCCTTTATACTGCATGGCAATAGATCTAGAAAGTATAATTCCTTTCACGCGTGATATCTTTAGACTTGAGCCTCCTCTCAATACTAAATGGCATCCATACTTTACCTCTGTCTGGCCAATAGTATGGATAATCTTACGATGTTGTTCTTATAATTACTCTATCGAATCTCTAATTAGGTAGAAGTGCTTTATCGCTTTTATCATGGCACAGAAATGCGATGGAGAATAGCAAACTGCTACACTGCCTCGACAATCAGTGAATATAATTCATCTGAACATGACTTCAATAGCAGGAACCGGTAAGTGTTAGTACGTTTCCTTCTCATTCTTCCATGATTACTGCGTTAGTAGACATAGTCTTTGATTTACAAAGTATTTATGATCAACATAAAATACTTGATCAAAAGTAACGATTTTTGTACCATGCGAGCTTGAACAACTCGTATCTGGTGTTCGTGCATCAGGAGTTATATTAGAATGTTTACTGTACTCTCGGATCGATTGTTTCTTATCAGAGTGGTCTTATGCATCATGTATGAATGTTATAATCCGTGTCGTTTGTTTGTTATAGAAGAAGAAGTGAGAGAAAAACTGCTATGGAATTTAAAGCGAGAGGTAATATAACCTTTTCCCGCTAATAGTTCTCACATTATACACTTTTGTTTTTATTCAGGTCAAACAAATGATGGAGGAAGCAGTGATGAAAAAATGTATTCATGAAGAAAATTGTATTATAACAACATTATGTGGTAAACTTTTTTTGATTTTGTTACAGACCGAGTTTAAGTCGTTTGATTTTTTTAGGCGCTGTTGAAGCTTGTTTACTTCATGGGCTCAAGCGTCGAGCTGTTGGGCTATTTAAAACAAGTACAACAATGGCTCTGCTGCAAAAAATCGCTAAACAATGCCCGGAAGCAGCTGATGTGGTCAAAACCGTCGATGAAAATGATAGTTTTAGTATTTCAAAGTAAATGTCTTGTTTTCAATGTTATGTGATTAATCAAGTATGAATTTATTTCTCTATTTAGAAAATTATCGAGTATAACACATCATATAACAAGTATCGAAGAAACTCGTCGTACATTAAAAGCAGCTTGGTATTCTCGATATTTGTGGATTCGTACAGCTCTTATTAATCGTTCATTACATAAAATTGTTGATTTTATTATTAGGAATGCATTGTACGTAAACAGTCAAGCGAATATTTTTTGATAATATCTCGTTTTGTTTTCTATGTAGAAAATATTATGAACCGTATGCATTAGTTGCCGATTCTGTTCAAGGACCGATATTTTCATCACTTTTGGGTAAAAACTTCGTCATTCATCTTTCAACTGAATTTCTGGATTTTTTCTGTTTTAGCTGGCCCGTGTGCGCTTGAATTTACAAAAATGAAGACAACGGATCATTTTTGGTCCGATCCCCCAGCTGCCGAAATAGTTCAGCGTCACCGAATGCATAGCACAAGACAAACAAGTTCGAAACTTTCACCAAAGCTCAAACCAAGATTACAAATGAATGTGAGTGATAGTGTTTACTTACTATACTTTTTGAACATTAGTGATTCTCTTTCTTTAGCTCAAACGTCATACTAGTTCATCGAGTGAAGAAACACGAATAACACTGCCAACATCGAATCCTGCTCGGGATTATGTTGAATCATTACACCAAAACGCAAAATCACAGTTGATCTATGGAAAAAATAATGTTTTAGTACAGCCAGTATGTTTTTTTAAGTAATTGTTAGTTATCCTATACATACACAGAATGATGATAATTATTTGTCGACTGACTGTCGATTGATGTTTTACATGTCATAGTTACACTGACTGTGTTATTGTTCTAGTCTACTGTAATACTGGAAAGAGTAGAATTTTATCTTTGTTTAGAAAGAAGGACAAGATCCGCTACCCGGTTATCTATCATTACATTTAACAAATAATGATGTGATATTAAAATGGACTCCAAATCAACTTATGAATGGATACTCATCGTTGAATGGTAGTAGTAGTACTGGATCAGAAATAAGCGAAAATCCAAAACGAACTAGGTGCGTTACGCGGATATATGTGCTTTTGAAATTACATTATGAGTATCAAAGTCTTCAAAAACGGCTGATGTCCTGTATTCTAGCGTATATTGGGATTATGCAATATATCTGAATATGTCTAATATTGTTTACCTACATTGCCATCAACATCGTAAGTGGAAGAATAGCAACTCTATCGTTTTCTCATCTTTTCATCTTTAAAGTGGATGGAGATCGTATTGTACTTGTGGCAAAAGATGGTGTTCAGCATCCACCATTTCATATAAAAGACAAAGGTGGACATTTATTAGCATTTCTTTCGTGTCTGGAAAGTGGTTTATCCCCGAATGGGAAATTAGATCCGCCACTGTGGTTCGAGAAAGACAAAGGTACATTTGACTAATCATAAACGTTGTAGAGTTGCTATAGAATGAAAATATTAAAAACAATGTATGTTAATCTGTCTACTCTATTTCTTAATTGTTGGTTGAAAATTTTACTCTTTTCAGGAAAGATATTTCCGAAACTACATCGTCGTAATGATCAACAGCAGAACGAATCTCAAGTATCACCTTCAGCAACCCCCAGTAGTGATGAAGAAGAGGAAATAGGGGATTATGTATTTCGCATCGTGTTTTATCAAGATCGTATGTATCAACAAATCATCCGTACCATCGTTTTTGCTGTTGTTGCTGTACAAATGAAGCTTGTAGTGTATGTGTTTAGCTTTTGCTGTATTGTTTAGTTGCCAAATACGCATTGCTCTGTTTTTTCTAGACAATATGGTTAACCCTAAACAGTGGCAGTGGTCGACATCTTTATCGTCAGCATCGCAGAATTCCGCGTTGCCACTAAGTAAGAAATTGATATAATAAATATTCAAAAGTAACAAATAATTGTTTTATTCAGCAGACACCACAACATCTTCAGTATCATCTCAATCTGGTTCTTCCGTTTCACAAATTTCACCACTATCAACGGTTAACTCGCCATCTTTAACAGAATCATTTGCATCATCATCTATTTCTTCAACTGAATGTTCATCTGGAATTCATAAAAGTGTATCTGTTAGGTAATAAATCATGTTTTTGTTTGTTAAATCGAGAAGTGCTAAACTTGTTATGATGAATAGCCTTAATCCATTCTCAGAGATTTTAGTGCACCGACAATCACAGCTGGTAGGTGTCTAGTCATCCGAAAGCCGTTCAGAATGACAAACAAGGTTCTCTTGTTTCGCTCATTGTAATGTGCCGATTAGACATAAAAGGTTGTTGTTTAATTGTCAAATCGAAATCGAAGATTTATAAAATTGGCGTCTGAATAAGTTTAGCTACTTTTTTCTCAACATAGAACATACTCTATTAACAATCTAATCCTGTTCTTTATTTGCTTTGCTTGTTTTCAGAACGTCGATTGCCTCATTATGTGATACAATGCGTCAACAAATACTATCACGAGCATTTTATGGTTGGATTGCGTACTGTAGACATTTAAAAACTGTTCGTACACATTTAGCAGCTTTAGTTTATCCAGGAACATATCTGAATGATCGTGAACAAGATACAGCGTTGACTATTGACGCATGGACAGAATTATTTCTTGATAGACAAAGTTTGCATCTTCCAATTGACAAAAAAGAAATATATCGAAGAATATATTATGGTGGATGTGCACCATCTATTCGAAAACAGGTATATCAGCGATAATTCTTCTAATTAATTCACCAGTGTCAGTCAGTAATGTACATTGTGTTAGAGCTGAAACAAGAGTGCTATTTTGATCACGGTTAACTCACATTTAGGTATGGCCATTTTTATTGATGCATTATCCATTTGAATCAACAATTGAAGAACGTGAAGAAATTAATCGTACGACAGCTGAAAATTATAAACGACTCGCTATAGATTGGCGTGATGCTGAAGGTAGTATTTAAACATCTAAAGAGAAAACAGCAATAATTTTGTTTCGTTGTGTTTTCAGATATCGTTTGTCGACTTGATCGGGAACTGTATGGTAGGAAAGGAGCCCGTTTAATTAGTTCAACTTTAGATTCAAATGACACATCAATCGTTCCTGCCGTTAATCCTGAACTCATAACGAATGATAAAACATTATTAATACGAAAAGATTCTAGTTTTTCAAATGATGTCTTTTTTGAGGTAACAGACATCATTTGTTTATTAAGCATTAATAAATAATTTTGTTATATTTTTAGGACTGTACTTTTCATAGTATTGTTTTACCTATTGAAGAAGAGTCTAGTCGTCAAAGTACTCCGTTGTGTGAAAATCAACCAATAACTTCGAATTCAGCGTTAATTGTTACCATACGTACACAATCTGTCATCGATCGTGCATCGCCATACCACGTCATTGAAACAAGTTGCGCTGATGATGATGCTTCAGAAATATTAACGACGGATTGGAATTTACAAACTGATGACAATCACCAGACAAACGAAGATGAAAATGAGAATAATGATGTAATTAATGATCAAAATAAAGAAATGGTTGATGATAATGCCCAGTGTACTAATGAACGACGATTTCATATATCTTCACCAAGTTCGAGTTTAACAAGCAGTATGGACGTTTATATGGATGCAGTCGATATTTTACAAGAACAGCAAGACCAAAAATCTGGTGAGATTAGCAAAATAGCATCTTTTTCTCCACACAAGTTTGTCAAAAAAGATTGTCTATTGCACAATAATTGAATATTTTGAAACTTCTTCATGCAGCAGAAAATAATTAGACTTGGTGCATGCAAGTTTGAATGTATATGTTCGTTATTCTAGATGATTCATTGATACCAGTTTATTATGGTCGCTTTACAAAAGAAACAATTGATTTATTTTCCTCAAATTTACATCGTATCGATAAAGATGTGGCTCGTTGCGATCGAAATTACATATACTATTCAAATTTGAATAATTTGAAAAAGTTACGGAACATTATGTGCACGTACGTTAAATTATTTATACTTGCATAAACACCTATTTTTATCTTTTCTTTTCTTATTTCAGATATGTTTGGGATAATTTATCAATTGGTTATATCCAGGGCATGTGTGATCTTGTTGCACCATTATTAGTTGTTTTTGATGAAGGTATTATATATTTCACTTTTTTGACCTTATTTATGAAAAAAAATTGTTTTATATCTTTAGAAGTGATCACTTATAGTTGTTTTTGTTATTTGATGAAGAGGTTGGTACCAAATTTTCCACATGGTGCAGGAATGGATCAACATTTTGCAAATATGCGTTCATTATTAAAAATACTTGATTCAGAATTATACGAACATATTCATCGTACCGGCGATTTTACACATTTCTATTTTTGTTATCGATGGTTTTTACTTGATTTCAAAAGAGGTAATTTATATTCAGCTTTGGATATAAATGTTATTAAATGCAACGCAATAAATTTGTAGAACACTTTATAGTTGATATTAGTTCAAATTAGTTTATAATTAGGAGTAGTACCTGTAACATGAAAGTTTTAAGTCGTACAGCGTTCGATTGTCCGATATTGAACGAATATCTAAGAATTTGTTCAATGAACTCATTTGAACAAGATCATGTTGACGTTTTGATTATTATTTTTAGAATTTGTTTATAATGACATTTTTCGTGTATGGGAAATAATTGCATCCGCTAGACGTCTTGTATCAAAACGTTTTGTCCTATTTATCGCATTATCTATGTTAAAATGTTATCGTGATATCATATTGGATAATCGCATGGATTTCACGGATATAATACGTTTTTTCAATGGTATGTATCTTTCACACGTAGAAAGAAAAATAAATACAAAGGATAGCTATTTCAATGACGGATATATTTGTTTTTGTTAGAAAATATTGATAGCTAATGGCCTTGTTATGATGAATAGCCTTAATCCATTCTCAGAGGTTTTAGTGCACCGACAATCACAGCTGGTAGGTGTCTAGTCATCCGAAAGCCGTTCAGAATGACAAACAAGGTTCTCTTGTTTCGCTCATTGTAATGTGCCGATTAGACATAAAAGGTTGTTGTTTAATTGTCAAATCGAAATCGAAGATTTATAAAATTGGCGTCTGAACAAGATTTTGTTTTTTTAATAGAAAAAGATGTTGTACTTGTTTTAACATACGCTAAAAGACTTCAGTTTGTTGATGTTTTATCAAAACTATTGTTTTTTTTTAATTTTAGAAATGGCCGAAAGACATGATGCCACTGAGATACTTCGCACCGCTCGTGATTTAGTATTAGAATTACAAAAAGTGATTGATAATAAATAACGAAGAGCGAGAATGTGGTGAAATTTTACATATTGATAAATCTTTATATCCATTTTTTTGTTTCATGTTAATTAGAGATCTACAGTAAAAGGAAACCATCGTCTCCAATGTTGTTATTATTATTGTTGTCGTAGTATATTAAATATCTATTTTTTTTGTTGTATTATATTTATTAAGATGACAGTTGTCTTTACTATTGTGAATATGTTGTGATTGTAAAGTCGACTATTTATTTATTTATCGATCTAACGGAAAATCTTTCTATAGCTGATATAAAAGTATTTTTCAACAAATTAATAAACAGTTATCAGAAGTTAATTAAAATATGGTATGAGGTTCTTTTTCTTGCGAATATTCCAACAGATTAGTATAATGGAGATTAATGTTGTCGTGTGAATGAACACACAGGTTGTTTCAAAAGCCACTACCGGAAAAAAAATGGCTATAACTTCACTGTTTCTTGGCCAAATGCGCTCATTTTTTTGTTTGACAGAAAAATGTTCAAAATTTTTGACAAAGTTTTTCAAGTTACCGATCAGCGCGATTCTCAAGCAGGAAACAGCCTTCGTAACATTTTAAATGAATTAAATATGTCTCTGATGCAGACGTGGCATATAACACAATTGATTACAGTGTAATTATATTCTTGATTACAAACCCTACAAGATATGCATGTCACTCAACAACTTTACGATAAAAATAAGGACGTAAGTGTTGAAATGGCTCAAAATTTGATGACGAGCGTTACAGATTCAAATATCCATCAATGCAACAATTTTTATTCTGAACTCTAAATGATGTGGATAGAATTTATTTTTTTTGACATATTCAAAATTTTAAACATTTTTCTAGCAAAAAAAGAAATGAGCTCATTTGGTCAAGAAATGGTAAAGTTATAGTCATTTTTTTCCCATAATGAAAAATTATCTACATAGCTGTATCGATCAAGATAATAGTACCCGTATGCTATTTTTTACTATCAAGAATATGAGTAGTGGAAGATTGAGAAGAATAAGAGGAAAACAAATTATGAAATTATTCGATGACTGTAAGAGATAAAACAGTGGGAATTATCAAGTCGATGTGTAATTAGTTTACTCATGTTGGGATCACTAATCCACGGTCGACTTGAATTTGATTTACATTCATGTCTATAAATCAATATATTATCAATCTCTTTTGTGATGTCATGTTATACAATTCTTTGGTTCCGTAACAATAGGAGGAAAAGATGCAATAAATCGATGTTGGTTGTCTAAAATAAATAGTGAAAATGCTAACATGAGTCGCCAATTATTGGTGATGTAGTTAGTATTTACAAAAGGTATGAAATTAACTGTATTTTACTGCTATAGTTGCTAGTTTATGATTTAGATGATCTATACAGCTTTAACTAAACTACAGCCCGCCTTTTATGTAAATATTTCTTCAAATATTCGCATTGAACATTTAAAGTAATATAAAAACTATTTATTAATCAAAATGATGATTACATCTCTACATATTGTTCTCTTTCTTCATTGTAATCATTTATTAGCACAAACTATTGATTGTGAAGATGATTTGTTATTATCATCATTACTATCGAATAATGGTAAACGTCAAATATTGCTAAATGAACAACGTATGGTTGACGATAGATATAAAATACTTCTGATTGTTGACAGAACAAAATATTTGTATACTAATAAAGCTTATTGTCAGCATAGTATTAATTATCGAGTCTTTTCTTGATCTTTAAAATAACAGCACATTTTCAGGTTGAAAAACAATTTAGTTATTCTCTGCTTTTTCCATTCATAAGACTGTCGACCGCCCTGGTCATTTTCTTTAAATGCTGGTCGTTGCGATCTCTTTGACGAATTAACCTAGTTTAATGTTGGAGAGTTCCACTTAGTGTTAAGAGGTTCATGTGGATAAGTTTTGTTTTGTTATAGTACGAAAAAAACGTCAACTGATTACTCATGTACCGACAACAACAGTCATGACAACAACTACAAGCACAACTACAAGCACAACTACATCAAGTAAACCGAGGAAACTGTCCTTTAAACATTATCTTTTAGTCAGTTCTAATAAAACATTACTATTTTGAGATCTAAGATTTTTGTAAAACGTAGTTCTTAGAAAAATAAGCTTTTTTAAAGTGTGCTTTTCAGGAACAGCCGAATCACCGAGGCCTCCTATGTCGCCACAATAAACTGTGTTTACCAAGCGTAGACTTTTTGGTGGGCGATATTATTAAAATAATAAGTTTACTTAAAAGGAAAAACGCTGTAGGTGTTGATGGTATCTATGTGCAAGCGGTTTATAAAAAGAACTCTCGTTCAGATTTTACTAACTATTGTTCGATATCTGTTCTATCGAACGCCTTAAAAGTTTTTGAAATGCTTATACACAAGGCTCTTCTCCAACATTTAGAACATGGTTTTTTGCTAAAGTCTAGTTTGGTTTTAGACCCGGTTCATCCACGGTTGATGCGTTATTATATATTACCACTAGAAAAAAGGAGCAAAGTAATCGAAATGGCATTTGACTTGGCGAGGGCGTAGAATACTTCATCAGCTCCTCCTGGCGAAACTTTCGTTGATAATCACTTTGAATGGTTTCGCTCAGATCTCTGTGACCAACAAAAGCAGCAGTAGTGAATGATAAGTGTCCTGGGAAAGTGACGGTGGTCTCGAGTGTTCCACAATGGAGTATTCTGGATTCTTGTTATTTCTTGCGTTTATCAATAATATTTCGATGCGCTTTTCTGAGTCGACGACCATCTCACTTTTTGCCGATAATGTCTTTTTCCTGAGTCTTGTGGTTAATTTCTTAAATCTGACTAATGCGTCGGATGATCTACGTATCATGCCTAAGTGGGGTGATAAAAACGATGTTGAACTAAACATTGATAAGTGTTATTTCATGTCCTTGTCTAAAGTAAAGCCGCTACTAAATTCTATTATTCAGCTAGCCGAGCAACAATACTGAGCATCCTTACTCTAGATAATAACATCAAACTATTAGGAGTATATTTCTTCTATAATCTGATCTGGAAATATCCTTATCTGTTCAAAAGGTGGTAGTGCGAATAATTGCTAATAACTATAAAACTAAAACTGAAAGGTGTTATGAGAATGTTCAGTTTGTCTACTCCCAGTGCTAGCTAGAAAGTATTTCGGCTTGTCCAGCTAACGGTATCCTTTTTTCGCTCTTTTTCAAAAGATTATTGAAGTAAAACTACAAACTAATCTAAAATTGCAATTACATAATTAAGTACATTAAACATTTCTCTACAAAATGAAAAGTGTCTTGGCTCTGAATGTTGATTGGTTATGAAAATACAGCTGTCGTACAAACAGCCCCCAAAATCGATTTTGGAGCTATCTGAAAAACGTGTCTAAAAGACTGAAGACGAGCAGGCGAAAATTCAACAAGTATACCAGTTTGTAGAAAATTGTTTGCTCTGCAAGATGCCATAGCTTGTTAAGTTCGAAACTATTCTAATTAATCTGTATTAATCAAAAAAAAATCAGAAAAACCGTAACGGTATGACACTTTTGACCGTTTTTTGTCACACCATTACGGTTTT